AAAAGAACAAGTCAAATATAAAAATATAAAAAGCGTTCGATGTCTTAAAAGTTGTAAACGAGGTTGTAAGTTACAACCTCATTTCTTAACAGTAGCCTAAACGGCTGAACAGATCTCAATGAAATTTGGTATAGACATAGAGGATAGTCTGGAAGAACACATAGGCTATTAACTTTTGTTTTTTTTTTTAACTCTAGTATATACTACTATAATATTATAAATGTGAAAGTTTAGATGGATGGATGTTAGAGTTTGAAGCTTAAATCGAATTTCAATGAAATTTGGTATAGATGTAGGGGATAGTCTGGAAGAACACATAGGCTACTCGCTTTTGTTTTTATACCACGCAGACGGAGTCGCGGGCGAAAGCTAGTGCTAGTATAAAATAACATTTCAATTTAAAATGTTACATTAATTTGTTAAAAAGTCGTAACAATACGAAAAAATACTTTAAAATAACTAAGGTAAGTGTACCAGTAATTCATTGTTTAGTGTGATTTAACGCAAATTTATATCAATTACTGGTCCACTAACGTTTTTTGTGTCTTTTACCTTGTACTACTATTTGTATATGATCCAAGTTTACCTTACATTTCATTTTATATTTACTATGTAAATAAATTAATATAGATATATATTAGTTAACCTTAATTCCAACATGGCGGTGTCTCGAGTCTCGACGGACCAGGCTACCATAAACAAAAGAAACTCATCAGCCTGCTCATAATTAACAATTTGGAGGAAAGCTTTCCGGCAATCGTGTAGCGCCTGACGCAGTTTAATCCGAACTAGGGTTGACGAACTCGAGATTCCTGTGTCTTCTATCGAAATACTTGTATAAACATAATGTATTCCTTTTTTCTTTGATAAAAAAGAAAAAACAGTAATGTTACAAGTAAGTTCTCCTGTCTACACTAATATTATAAAGAGGAAAACTTTGTTTGTTTGATTGTAATTGTTAAAACTACTGGACCGATTTTAAAAATTCTTTCACCGTTAGAAAGGTAATTTATCTGTAAGTAACATAGGCTATAGTATACAATTTTTTACTTCTACTTTCTACGCAGACGGAGTCGCGGGCGATAGCTAGTCGTTAATAAAGATAAATTAAAAATTAAATATCTTAATGAAACTAACGTATTATTTTATTCAAAACTTTAGCATAGTATTAACAAAGTAAATTTACTATGTAAACGTGCGCACCGCAGCTCACGAACCGCAAAATAATTTTGAAGTGAGCCCGTATCATATAATATATCTTCGCCTCTCTAATTGATTAAAAAAGCCGGTCAAGTGTGGATCGAGCCTTGTCCAATTAGTCTTCCGTTATGATTTCAATTTACGTGCGCCGGAGGAAATAAATTAAAATACGTGGTTTACATTTTTTCATTACGTATGCCAATAAAATATACAAAAACAAATGACTTTAGCAAGTTAGTAAACACAATAAAAATGTTTGCAAATACGTGTTTTGTCAAATAATCTATACTAACTATATTATGTACGCGGCTTTGATGCTTTTCTCTATGTATTGTGAAATTAAAAAGAAATTTAATACTCGTTTTCACACATTTTGACAGAAGATTTAACATTCGTAGTCACTTCCACATTATGTAAACTTAATTCCACCACAAAGTTAACTATTTGACGTTTTAATTAAGGCATGAATTATGAACAGACACGATGTTTCCTTTGTACAATGTATTTCCTTCACAAATGTCGCTCTCTGAGTGTCAGTTAATTGGATTCCAACCTCTTATGGTTTACATTATATTTCCCTACGGCAAGATTTTCCGCTTTTTATATAAATCTATGGAGTTATTTTGGCTTGCTTTAGTTTATAATGATTTTGAAATATATATGCCTATTATAACAAAAATAATTACCCCAAAGAGTCTAAGTTAAGTTTAGTTTAGTCTATCTAAAGTAATAAAAAAGCACATACACCATTGACCCAAGGGGTAGACTAAAATTATGAATTTCCATTTCGCATGTTCGCTTTTCCTTTTAATATCCACACATGATCTTATGTACATGTCTTATTTATTTTTGTTGCTAGTGAGTAGTTACAAACTTAACATAATAAAACTTTTTGTTTTGTCATTACCTACTCGTATCTAGTTGATATACCAAGCTCCTTATCAACGCTGACGGTCACCTTTCTATCGTTCTTCCTGTTTTTTAACCACTAATCAAGTAGTTTTTCCAAACTACAGATGGCCACGATGTGTCTTCACGAATTTTTCGTCATGTCACCAGTTTATCTCATATCCTAAAAGCCTATTAAATACGAAACAACGAACAATAATAAATATTAACTTAATTGTTCAAACATAAACGTGATGCGATGAATAACGTGTCAGCTGATACTATATTTACTTTTGTCTTGTGAGACATATGATTTTGTTGTCCCCTTGATAAATTGAATACTCGTGATAAAATGGTAAATTATTTATCTCATACTTTAGTTCGCCGCAGTTGATAACTAAGAAAAGTAGTATTTAAGCAAGTGGTGGAAGCAATAATGCTCCTGTTCGTCTACTTATCGTCTATATTCGTTTTACTGACGACATTTTTAGTCTTAAAACGCGTAAAGACAAAGCAAAAGGTATTAACTATAGGCTAGTTTTTTTATTTAACTATTGGTAACGGCATCTCTCAAGTGAATTACGGTACAATAAGAAATATATTTATATTTTTATTTTAGGAATCCTCTTAGTTAACCTAAACACTTCTTTTCTCCAGAAACCAAGCACTTATATCCTAATTAAGAAGAATTTAAAGTCAATCTTAATAGCACTACGGATTAATGAGATTAGGTTCCGTTAGTACTTTACCGTATCTAAATCATTCGGGTTTATCTTAATTAAATGAATGTTTGTAGTGTTTCAGAATAACAAGTAGTGGTAGGACGCTAGTGGGCAATGGGAGGGTGGCTGAGCTATCTCTGGTGGGGCGGAGACCCCGACGTAGTGAACCCGATATCAGGCCTGACGCGGCGGGAGATATACGCGGTGCAACGATCCTGGGCACTCGTCCACAAGGACTCGACGGCAAACGGAATTGAATTGTTAAAAAGGTATTATTAAATGGATTTTAATAAAAATAAGTTTTAGTCTTTTCGTAGCTTTTCTATTATTCTGAAATATGCAACAAGAAGGATTATTCCCAACCGTCACCCCGCTCAGTCTCCACGTGGAAATAAAAAGTTTCATCCGCCCCACTTTTTGCTTATTGGTGTTAGTTACTAAAAGGTGAGACAGATGTAACTTTTTATTCTCACGTGAGGACAGAGCGGGGTGACGGTTGGGAATAATCCGACAAGAATATTTGTAGTTGTTGAAAATGACAGTTATTTTGAAATTTCTACTTGCTTTTTTAGAGAAAAGATTTGTTAAGTTTTACTTCTAACAAATTTTAAATTATTTTTAATATTGAATTCCATATAATGGTATAAATCATTTTACATTTCATCCTAGGTTATTCCGAGCGTATCCAGAAACGAAAGAATTCTTCAAAATGGTGAGAAAACTGCCCGAAGAGGAGTACGAGAGGAATTTTCAGTTCAAAGCCCATGTCATCAACTTGATGTCATCCCTAGACCAGGCGGTGAAGACCCTCGATCAGCCGGAGATTGTCATTGAGATGATGCTCAAGATAGGAGATTCCCATAGAAAAAGAAAATTACAAGAACAACATTTCTATGTAAGTTTTCTTTTAATTTAATTACTAACTCTCGCCCGCGCATCCATCCGCCTGAAATTTAAAAAAAAATATAAAATATTCAGCCATTTAGGCTGTGAACTTTAACAAACGGCCATCCATCTATCTAAATTTTCGTATTTATATTATTACAATTTGTTTTAACAGTGGAATAAAGTAGTTTATTTCTTAGTTTAGTGCATAATAAAGAATAGAGGCAATGCCGATACTAACTCCATTGATGCCCTGGGCGACATTTATACAGTGCCCCCTTTTTTACCACGACTACAGGGGAAAGGGTTAAAAAAGTAATTTGCAGACCTTTGGCGCCCTGAGCGATTATACTCTAATGGGATTAATTTTCAATAAATCCTACAGGAATTATCCAAAGATATTCTCTAACTATTTTTGTTCTCTTCAACAGGATCTAAAAGATGTCCTAGTAAAGATGTTGATTGAAGTTTTAAAACCGGACTCGTCAACCCTCGGCGCGTGGGCCAAGACTGTTGACTTTTGGTACAAACACATATTTGTTTCACTGTCGGGCACTGACGGGAGATAACAGATGTCATGAAACAATAGTGACTTGAATAAATATCTAGGATATAGATCATGTGTACATAGAAGCTTATTGTTTAACTGCAGAAGCAGACAGCGAGGCGAATAGTGACGAACTATAAACAATAATTCATGCTATAATGAAGAAAACAAAATCAAGACCAAACATTGTCAACTTCTGAAATGACAGTATTTTAAATCACATTAGACAAATCAACTATGTATATGTTTCTCGACCATTTTAATATGACAGAAAGGGACAGATATATCAGTCAAATATAAAACTATCTGTTTTTATTCTAGCCTTGCATTTGTGAATACTTTTGGCATAGTAGTCGAATAAGTGCTCGTTCTTATTAAACAATCTCTATGTTTTTTTAACAAAATCAGTATTAGTAATATTTGTATTACAAGCATATGAAACTTTATGTTAGTTTTGTACAGAATTGACATTGCTGTTTTAACTTAAGCACTATTAAGATACCTATGTAATTAAGATAATCATTAACATAACCTTTAGCCCAATAAAGTAAATAAAGGACAACTGCTTTTCAGTTTAATTATGTAATTCTGAAATAATAAAATCCAGGTTTAATTTTTACTATCGACACTAAAAGGGAAGTTGGGAAGGGTTTGAAATAAAAACGCATTTTTATTTATTTTTATATTTTTTTACAATTAATCAGATAACATACATATCAAACCAGCCGAATTATGGCTAAACCCATTTATTATCTAAACTTACGAACGATACAAGAAATTGATACATCTCAAATTCACCTTATTTAAATATATAGATATATTATATATGCATCCACTCTACATATAGTCTACAACTACTTAGTCATAATCTAAGTTTTGCATAAATCATCAAAGTAAATATGCCCAAAAGAAATATTGTTGAACTATGAATATACATATAACTTTTTGGCAATTAATTGAGTATCATTTCTGTGCATAGCAAAATTAATTTTCTTTAACATGTAACTTAGATCTTATTTATAAAGAGGCCACAAATATTACACGCGTTTCTGTCGTCAGTTCGATTACATAGGGACTTTTTGTTAAACGTTATTTATTGCCTATATACTATAAACATTACTCTTATGAAATGTAAGAAAAATATCCTTACGCGATAACTGAATTAGCCTAGCAGTGCTGTGCAGTGAGAGTCGAGGGTCGTCGGCCGGCGGCTCGGGGAGGGCGGGGGGCGCTGTGCGAGGTGGTGCAGCGCCCTCCACCCTCCGCCCTCCGCCCGCCGGCCCGCCTCACCGTTGTGCGTACATTGCGCTAACGACATACAATACCATACGACATGACACCATACATCATACAACACTTCACATAATCATCAAAACAACTATTTGTAATCTACATAAAAATTTGCTCCAAATGTTTATATTAAAATATGTCTACTTATTGTAACTTCTAATTAGTTACAGCCAACTTTACAAATAATTGATACATTAGACTCTCAAATAGATCTCTACTAACTATCATTAATGGTAAAAAATAAAGAATAAAATACTTCTAAACATTGCATTTCAATCACATAAGGTTTAGTTTAATTATACAATAATAACATCTTTTTAAACCCGAACATAAGTATTACGAGAACGTTGATATCGTTGAGTTCTGGAATGGAAAATAGCACACATATTCACTAACTGTTACACTTACATAATAATTATTGTTCTCCTGCTTTGTTTGTAAAATACATTGCTTTTAGGTAGTTTCAGAAAAATAACAATAAAATATATCAACTATATATGCCGATATGATAAACCTTATAATAACTTAAGACAATTTTATAGGGGGTGGGTGTACCAAATAACAGTGCTGTGCGTTCGGTAAGTACGGAAAGGCGATATAGTAGTCTGGTTTACACGTGAGGTTACAGAATGAGGTAATAAAGACACGAAGAGAATGACACGGTCGGGCGGCACTGCCGGCTCTATTTGGTACGCGGGCCGAGGCCCGACACTGACAATTTATAATTACAATTCATACTGACAATAAAACGAGTTTCAAATAAATGCCGAAAGTTACACAAGAAAAAAAAGGAACACTACAGCAGCAATCAAATTGCGAACACATTTGTACTACATAAAAATTAATACACAACCCTTTGCGCGAAAAGACTGAAAAGTTCAACTTTTTAAGAGCGCAACGTAACGGGCACGATCAGCGGAGTGCGGGCGGGTAGCCGTGTCCGCGCAATCGCCCCCGCCACATCAACAATTAATACTAAATCTTTAGAATAAAAATTTCCCATCACAGAGATTTGCACAGAAAAGTTTTTTTTTTAATATATTTAGCTTACCGATATAATTATGAAAAATTCAGTATTTGCCTAGTTTAATACATGTCCAATATAATACGAAAATCGAGAATTTGACATTATTGTTTGTAATATGAGACGAGACAGCCTTATTCTACAACTTATCGATTAGTTTTATTCTGATATTGTTATGAATTATTCCATTGAAACACGCTTTTTATATAACTACATTGTACTTTAACTCAAAGGTGGTACCGAAAAATATATTTTATTATAAACAAACGCCAATCGTACATTAACTTTAGAGAGATGTCACTCACTACACTTATTAAAGGCGACCGATTAAGTTTCGTTTATTATGTTAACTTAATTTCATTTATAAATATCAAAACCTAACGAATATTATGGAAAAATTACGGATATGAATACAACAAAATCATTCGAAATAGAAATGTTAGTCGATATGCAACGTTAAAGATCAAATATTTAGGAAATGAATTTCAGATGACATCGGTGGTAATGATAATCGATTCGTTTGTCAGTCTGTGCGTGCGACCGCCGGCAGATGGCGCTGGCCGGCGTGTGGCCAAACGAGGTGGGCACAATTGTTCGCTCTCTACAACACTCTACGATACAATACTAAAAGTAAAAAAATATGCGAAGCGATTATGTCTCGTCACATACATACGTGTATCTGGCAGTAGGAAACATCTAATAAAATAAATATTCTCATCCGACTCACTGGATAATATTAAAAATATTTTCTTAATCACAGCTATCAGTCTGTCAAAATTTAAATTAAGTATATTTCAAGAGTTGGATTAGTCGATCCTCACATGAGGTTCTTTACTTTATTCATGTACAAGTATATTCAAGGTACAAATGTGACTAATTTAAGAGCGCGGAGTATTTATTATTTTTTGCTGTCAATGTTGACAATTGAGAGGATTTTTTTATTTTTTTTTCTGGAAAAATACGATACGGTCATTGGAGCTACGCAGTTACGTATATCAGAGTAGGGAGACATCGAGACCGGTTCACTTCTCCTACGAACACAAATGAACATTGAATATAAAACAACTCGACACAGGTACAACAGAGATCTAATGAAAGAAATAATACGAATAATAACTAGTTTCTTATTAGGATTACGACGATTTCATAAAAATTATGCTCGAATATCAAAATCTCGTCTAAAGCGATGTTCGTATGCGAGACAGACTAGAGAAGCAGTGTCTTGTGTAGGCAGCGAGCTGCGCCCGAGTCTACTGCATCAATTAACTGCAGTCACGTTGGTGGGGAGTGGGCTGGTGGGGGGCGGGGAGGGGT